CGTGAACCACAAGTTCTCCAACCAATACAAGGCGACCATCGGTGCGGACTTTCTCACCAAAGAGGTGGTCGTCGACGACAGACTCGTCACAATGCAGGTCAGCCTCACCACCACTTCCCTCCCACTCCCCCGCCCATACCACTGACCCACTGATCCTCTCACCACTTGTCACACAATTGGTGTGATTGTGGTCTTTGTCTTAAACCCAAAACATATGATATTTCGTATGAATTGAGTCGTGAAATGACATAACAGTAAGAAATAGTTATGAATTGCATTGACATCTGATTTCAATGTCAACACTCCTGTAGTCCATCACTGGGTGTCATATCAGCCGTCGATTGCAATCACTGATCCATTCAATTGGCTTTTCATTTGTTACACCGATTCACGCGATATTTGATTGAAAGCCAAATATTTGAAGCGATTTTTTCCTTAGCCTTTGATTCCCTTTAAACCGAGTTTTGAATTAATTATTTGCACCAAAACTCTGAGACTATATAAACGCCAAAAACCTATGAGTTATTTATAATTGTCTGCCTTTTAATGCGTCTCTCATTTGTTTCCTCGTTTTCATCACTTAATTGGTTCACAAAAGCATTGATTTTTTAGTTGTTATTGTATTTTATTTTATTTATAAAACACTTTTACTGCGATTAGTATTTAATTATTTACGCCAATATTATTTATAACTCATTTATGAGTAATGTATGCATAAAACTATAGTAATGGCAGATCTCTCATTGATTTTATCGTCAAATGTATTCAAAACGTTATTTTAATAGTTACTAAAACGCTATGATTTGATGCCATTTGTGTCCCAACTCTTTATCTAATCTCAAAAAATTAGTCTTTTCTATAATTACTCGCAACTCATATGAAATAAAAACATATGATTTCAGTGAACTGATTGTCTCACTGTTTATTATTTGTTGATTACTTGTATTACACATAACTTACAATGTATTGCATTTGACGACAACTGTTTGGCCGTAGATATGGGACACCGCAGGCCAGGAGCGGTTCCAGTCGCTGGGCGTCGCCTTCTATAGGGGCGCCGACTGTTGCGTATTGGTCTTTGACGTGACGGCGCCCAACACTTTCAAGTCGTTGGACTCCTGGAGAGACGAGT